TTTTTTTAATATCTAATATTTTTACATGCTGCTAGTGACAGAACCTGTTGTTAAAATATCTGAATCCCACCACTGAATTAAGTGTATCGTAAAGTTGTATTCGGAAAAAATAAACTAGTTTTATTTAAGAAAGTACTTGTGTCGGAACGAATTTACGGAAAATTAACTAACGACTGGAGACTAACAATATGTTTATACTCTATGTTTATTTTCATTAACCACCTTACATTAAAAACACATAGTTACTTTTTAAATTCTCATTGAAAATATTGTTACGATATCGGGGGTCACGTGGCGCTAGTATCACGCCACAAGCTTCTCGAACATTCACGTCTCTTCCTGAAATATCGGGAGTTTACTAGATCTCGGTATTCTTTTATATATAAGACGGTCACAACGTGACGGGAAGGTATTGAGTAATTGAACTGCGCGCAGAGAGAATATTGTTGGGCACGTGAGACGTTCGTTGTGAGTTTTAGAGTTTGTTATACCCTGACTGTTGAAATTAAGTGTATCGCAAAGTTGTATTCAGAAAGAATAAACCAGTTTTATTTAAGAAAGGACTTGTATCGGTAAAGTTTCTTCGGGAAGAAATTATACGGAAAATTAACTAACGAACGGAGGCGTAACAATACTGTAAAGTGCTTCACTGTAAGGTAATTAAGTATGTTTGCTCAAACTATTCATGTTTTATACAATAAAGTGGGTTCATCGTGATCAAATATTCATGTTTTGTTTCTTACTTATTTACTTACGTATTGTGATGATCAGCTGTACTTTGTAGTGTTTTTCCTTGCACTTCGTGGTACTTTGTGATAACTTTGTGGTAATTAGTAGGACCCTCATTTTTATAAATAAAAAATAACTTATAAAATCTTATGATTAATAATCCTGCTTTTACTGTTTTAAGTTGGTGTATTGTTTATTCATAACTCAACATGTCAAATTATCATATGAAAAGATGTAAAATGAATGGGGAAAAATTAATTTGACGTAGTATATTTGTAATACTTAATAAAGTAAGACTTTTTATTGATAGCTATTTTAAAATGTTCGTCTGATAAAACTAGTGACAAAAGGTTATATGTTATAAACAGATAATCACTTAAAAATCACATATGTATGATCCTGTGTATTTTTTATGACAGTTTTAAAATGGCGGAATGCTATACTTCTCAATGTGCCAAGAAACGAATTTTATTTCGTAAGGAGCTTCAAAGATGGAACAAGGATGTTTTATTACTTGTTGGTATGTATTGATATCTGTCATTAAATTTGATTTTAATTAATATATAGAGTTTTTCAAGCTGTTTAAGATCCTGCTCCTACTTACAAGGTAGGAAAAAGCTTAACCATTTACGGAGTAGGTCGGATAGAAACAGTACTAGTATTGCCAACTTTAGGCCTAAACGTAACTATTTAAAGTATTTGACAAATTCTGAGTTAGTGGATGATAAAACAAGACCACAACAGTAAAAGTAAAAAAAGTGAATGAAGAAACACCAAACACCAGAAATGTATGTATTGCCTATTGATAAAGTAGATAGAAATAGAGGATGGAGTTTACGTTTGTCGGCAAACAAAAGATTATTGATAACATTTTGTAGTGGATATATAATACTAATAATAGTAATAGTAACTATAGTGATACTATTACAAATAGTAGTAATAGAGTAATGTTAATAATGCTATAAGTAATAGTGTAGTAAAGTGTAAAAGTATTGGTAACAAAATTTACACACACAGACATTTCATACGTTGTTGACTACTATACATACGTTTTGAGCTAGAGCCCTTCTTCAAAATGACATGAACTCCTTGCACAATAACTCCCCTTAAGCACTTGTGTTCAAAATATTTTCATTCTTTTCCTCAGCATCGTCTAATTATCTAGACGAGATGTGTTTTTAAAATTATTAATCAATTACGAGATTTGCAGTAGTTTATTAACCTTAAATTTTGTTCAAGTTTCACTGGTTTCTTTTATAACTAAGGAAAAACAAATTATTTTTTTTTTCCTGCTTTCCCATTATGAATTCTCAAATTATGGAAAAATTCCTCTTCGTCTCAGGAAAGTGACGATGTTCCTAATGATGTGATATTGACAATGTCCTGTGATTATTTTGGCTACTGGGGGCTCATTGTCTGCAGAGGACAGTGATGGTTATTTGTTCAGTGTGTTGGGGGTTCCTTCATACACACTGGCTTCCTCTTCTCATCCATGAAGTCAGTGATCCTTCTCCCAAATTTGAACATGACTGGGATAATGACATGGTTTGTTCTAGTTACAGCTTTGTGACTGTTGAGAAAAATCCTGACACTTTTAATTTCTTGGACATGATTTTGCAGGTATGTTCTCTTCTTTTTCTCCTTTTGTCTCTTGGTTTCTCCTGTGCTTTACTACATGAAACCCATACTCTAGACTACTTTGTCTTCCCTCCTTCACCTGGCATTAGGGTCCATGTAGACTCATTTCTTAAACACCTTCACTCCTGTACTAACATGCCTTGTACACGTCATCTGTTTGACTCTTTTGTTCTGGCTTACAGCCATTCTTCTATTTGTTCCTGAGATTCCTAATCTTTGGAATATGTTTTATCTATTTGGGGGGATGGACCCTAAGCTTTTATTTCCCCTTTCTAGTGCCCAGTTTTTATGTCTTTGTTTCTTGCTTACCAACCTGCTGCATTATTTCTCGTTAATTCATCTTATGTCTGATGCATTTAATTGTGCTCAGGAAGAGTTTTCTGGAGAGGTTTGTTCTCTTCTTTTCACCACATTGGCTCATACTTATGCTCTGTCTCTCCTTATTTAGTTCCTCTGCATTGGGACTTGTTGGAATGGGATGCTCTGCTTGCATTTTACGTTTATCTCTATGACCTTTGTTGGGCTCAATTTATTTCCCAGGAGTTCTTCATGGGTGTTCCTGGAGACCCATATTGGAGCAGCCTGGCATCAGGCCTCATTGTTTACCATGGTTTCTCATCTTTGAAAAACTTACCATTCTGTTCCTAGGCCTGCTGTATCTATGTCTCTTTTTTTCTTTCTAGCCTTCTTATACTTCCCAACCTCCCACTTTCTGATGTCAGGGTTGTCACTCATCTCTTCAATGACTAACTACCCTGTGGGCGCCTTTCTGCTTCTCTTCACCAGGATTTGGTCTCCATTTTTGTCTGACTGATAAATTATTCAGGTTCTTACTGACAGTCTATTTTTTTACTATTCTTCACCTCATCCCCTTCTCCATTTCCTTTCCACTTCATTCTGTTCCTCTTTATCTTCAGTGTCTTGAGGATGTGGGCTTGGATCTGTTTTTCAAGAATGCCATTGAGAGGGTATTTACCCCTACACCTGGTTATTACTCTTGTCTTTTTGTGGTTTCCAAGAACCCTGGAGTCTGGCATCCTGTTACTGACTTGTTGTCTCTCAAGTGGTTTCTTATCATATCTTGGTTTTGTATGGAGGGTTTCTTTTATCTCTGGTGGTTCTTTTCACTGAGGCTGAGATTCCATTATTACATAGATGATTGGCTTATCTTCACATTTCCTCAAGAAGGCTCCTTCTCTCAAACCTGCATTTTTATGCAGGAGGCTGCTCAGATGAACTACATTTTTTCTTATACTGAGCCTATGTTCAGTACATTTGGTCATTTTTTTCACCTCCTATCTCAGTTAGGCTCATGATTTCATTTACAAATAATGGAATGTCTTGCCATCAAGATTTGTGCTTCTCTTTTATACCCTGCACATGGGGTTATTTTTCTTGTGGGACCTCTGGTTTCCTTTGAATCACTCATTTGTTCAGGCTGCACACTTGAATCTCTTCCAGTTGACAAAGTCGGACCAGTTGTCCTCAAGTGCGTGCCTCCCTTCTCCTCTTCTTGAGGATTTGTCTTGGTAAATCGACCATATCAATACCATGATGGGCATCCCCTTGCCACCCCTGACCAATTTACATCCCTTCACAGATGCCTCTGTCAGGCTGAGCAACTACCTGACTGGGCGTGTGGGCCAATTTTGCGCATGTGAATGCCCTTGAACATCTTGCTGTCCATCAGACATTTTCTTCTTGAAGGTTGGTTGGTCATGATATACTCCAACAATTCCACAGTCATTTCTTATATTAACCATTAGGTGGAAACATGTTCTAGGACTATTTGCTTCCTTGTACTGGACCTTCTATTTTGAGATTTTTCCTGTTGGGTTTGTCTCATTGAATTGTTATGTGTCAGTGGCTCTGAACTTGGTATTGGATTGTCTCTCTTGTTTGGACAAGCTTCCAACCACAAAATGGTGTATCCTTCCTCAGGTTTTTTTGTTGGGTTTACTTAGTTGGGCCAGCATTTCATTGATTCCTTTGCCACTTTTAACACCAGGCTTTTCTTCTTTGGGTATCCAATTCTTCATTCTTCAGCCCTAGCAGTTGATACTCTCAGCCAGGACTGGTTTCACATTTTTCTGTGTGCCTTTTCTCTTATAACTCTTTCCCTCATGACACTCTCTGCCAGGTCCTGTTGGTAGTGACTCTTTGTCCAGCACAATTCTTATTTCATCTGCTTTGTCAGTTGGTGTCTGGGCTACATCTTTCTCTGCCCTATTTTCACACACTCTTGCTCCAACTACATTTCTCTTTCACCCAGGGGTGTTGTCCCTTCATCTTCACAGGTGGGATTTGTCCAGTCCATTGCTAGCAGAGCTGGACCTCTAATTATGTAGCCTTTTTCTTATTTCATTCATTTCATCCTCCAATTCTGTTCATCTATCAACAGAAGTGGTGTTTTTTTTTTTATGTTGGTCCATTGGCCTCTCCCTTCCTGCAGGCCATTCTTTTGTGACCCACTTTTCGGCCTTTTTCACATGGTCATTCGACCATGGATTTTGGTTTTCATTATTGCTGGTTCTCATGGCTTTATCAATTACATTTTGCATATCCTGTTACTGTAAAGTTTTTGTCCTCCTGTCCTCGTCATTTTGTGCCAATACTTCCTTCTTCACTAAACGTCTTTTCCTATTTCCATGCTTGACTGGGGCTTTGACTTAGTTTTACACACTCTTACACATGTAAAACTACTCATACATGCTCTGCTTGAGCCATTGTCTTCATATTCATTACACCTTCTTTCTCTAACTTCATATTTTCTTTTCCTTCTCCCCTGTGTTTACTGTCATTTGGAGTTTATGCCATCGATGCTTTCTGCACTCTCACTGCACTTACTTCCTTCTCTATTCAGATCAGGCTTTCTTCTTGCAACTACGGCTTCCAACTGTCTTACTCTCAGAATTCACTTTTACAGACCCTTGGACAAGATCCCTCAGGCTGGCATATGGATGAATCTGCACACGATTGTCTTTAATTATTTCATCATCTGGCATTTCCATCTTCTGAAGAACTTAAGACTCCTTCCAGTCACTGTACTTCAGTGAAACTACATACTCTCTTTGGTAAGAGTAAATACATTTTCTTTTTCAGCACCCTTTTCTCTTTATAGGATCCTGTGAGATGGCTAATGTTGCCTCCCAGGGTATGGTTATTTCCCATAATCAGGCCAGGGATAGTGGAAAATGCGCAACCCATCTGCTCTGTCTCTGCCTGTGCCTTGAGATGGGGTGTTCTGCAAGACCACTAGAAATATCTTTGTGGTATTAAGGGATTTACTTAATTGCCTGATTAAGACTATTCCATTCCATGGACTGATGTGAAAAAAGCCAACCACAGGGATGTGTTTGCCCACTTCTTTTGGCTTGTGCATGTTGGCTCTTAAAAATAGGGTTTCCTGGTCACCCATTACACTGTCTCCAGTAAAATTCCTTTCCAGCTAGCATTTAATGGAATCTGGGCACTTCTCTGAGTCTCCCCACCACAAACTCACCTTGCCTTCTTCAAGTGGAGCATGGGAGACCCTTGCCATTTACCAGTTTGTAGCTACTAGGGTTCTTCCCTGATTGTGTACAGCACTGGTTGGAAGTACGGCAGTGGTAACACTGTCTGTGTGGTGTGCAGGTCACCCCTGAAATAGCTAGTGTGCCCTTCTCTTGCAGCATGAACTTGTCCAGCTGAATTAAGGTGAGACACACACACACTGTAAGGTCTTATCGAGCCCTTTCCACACCACACTTTTTGGCTTGCTGACCTCTTGTGTGTGTGAGTGCTTGGTTGGTCTTGATCAAATTCCCTTCATCCCTACAACACTTGGGGATATTTTGCCTTTCCCTCTGTTTCCTTCTGGGCAAAGAGTATATCCTGCTAGAGATGTAATGTGGTCTCCCATAGGTGTGCCAATATAAAGCTCCTGCCATCAGGTGTCACACTCCATGGGCTTTTCCCTCAAGCACTTTCTGAATGGAGCTCATTTAGGTTTAATGTTTGCTCTGGGATTCTGGCTATTCTGTGTTTGTGGAGGTGGGGTATCGACTCTAAAGTTAACATTTTCCTTTTCTGAAAATGTATTTGCGATACATACTCATTCTTCCCTTTTTCCGATCACTTTCTTGCCTTATCTAAGAATGAAATTATTTTGAGCACAAGTGCTTAAAGAGGTTGTGTTGTCCTCCTGTTGGTGGAGGGCTATTGTTACATGATGATCCCATCATGCATGAGGACAGTTCATGTTAAACATGTGATTTTTAGGTGGGACTTAGCTCAAGGATAGTTGCATGCCAATATCATAGGCAAATACACGAGGAATCAAGTTATTCTGTGTGTGGAAATGAGTATCTATTGAAAATACATTTTCAGGTAAGGAAAATGTTAACTTTTTCATATAATGAAATTCTAAAATAATATTCAGATGAAATAGTGATGAGTTTTTAAAGTAATAATTACAAATTGATGTTTTAATAATGTACTGTTGATCTATCAGTTAATTGTTGCAGTTTTCAGTAATTGGGTCATGCTAAAAATATTTAGTTGTTTTACAAATCAAACCAGACATGTACATTGTAGGTAGCTCCTGTGTGACATTTCTCACTCTTTGGTATTTTTATTAGTGTTACTTGCTTACACATAATAATTATAATTAAGAAAACATGATACAGTTATAAAAATATAAAAAAAGTATTCTGTCATTATGAGGCACCAATATTTTAATTAGGATGTCATTTTGCTTTGTTTGCTCAGCTAATATCCAAAGAGATCATTAGTATATTGAGTTTAAAACTTTTTTGTAAATTAATTTTTGGTACTTATTATTTAATTGCCATATACACTAGGAATTATCCTGTAGTACCAAGCTGGTGATGTAAATTTTTCTTACATTTGTAAATTATTGGTTTTATTGGTCTTACAGTCTTTTCTTTTGTCCTTTTAAATTAATAAAATGATCTTTTTTATGTTTTTGTTGTTACTCTTTATGCTGTTGAAACCTTGTCTGTTTTTTTTTCTCCATCTTCCATGTTGGTATCATATTCTGATGATGGTGTTCAATATTTGCAAATTTAATTTCTAAAATAAATTTTCAGTTCAAATATTTAACTTGTAGTACACCCATTTCAATTTTTTATTAATAACAGCTTTTTAAAGATCAGATACTTTATCAGATGCTGAAGGGCAGTTGAGGATGCTGGTGTTTGGATGTCAGATATGTGTACACTTTATCTTCTGACTTATGATATATTTTAATGTGATATAATACTTTTGACTTATCTTAACATTTGACACAAAATGATAGATGTGTAAATTAGAGTAAAAATTAATGAGAAGCTAAATACAGCTGTATATATATCATTATTATGGTAATTATTAAAATGCTACTTTAGAGATATGTATGAGGGCTTGGTTTTTAAGGAAATTTCGAAGTTGTCCTTCAAACAGCATGACCTGTATAAGAGGTTCTCTTGAAAGCTGTAATGATTTTCTAAAAATAATTACAAAAAAAGATCCAATTACGATGATGTACAAAGACCCACTTACAAGAATTTTGGTGTTTCTATATTGTATTTATTTCCAAAAAGCATAATTAAGGTTTAATTGGCAACTTTGTATCTTTATTCAACTAACTTTTGACACCTTATTTCCTAGGAAATTTTGTTACTTTGGAAAAACATAAGTACAAACCATGTTAATGTTAGTATCTTAAGGAATTGAACAGTCAAATGACCTCTAAAACTTTTAAAGAGAACAATGATCTTGGCCAATGATGTTCAACATTTTCATTCTGACCAACTTGATCTGCCTGCCAAGTATAGATAAGTACAGTCTGTAGTAAGACTAGACTTGCATCAGAACTTTTACACATACTACTGTCCTGTAATATGTATACAATACTTGAGTGCAATGCATGTACACACACACCACTGATATGTAGTGTTGTTTATACCCATAGTTTGTATTGATCTGAAGAGAGGCAAAGCTACCCTTATTTTATTTATTGTTATTCTGTTTTGTACTGATCAAAACTTTCATAAAATTTTGTTTGCAGTTATCTTTATTATGTTCTGTTTAAATCATAAATTTTCCTGCTTTTCTCATGGTAGCTAGGCCTTCTGTATTTCCTAGACTCGATTTAACCTTAGGCCTATATGTGCATAATTGAAACAGGGTCAGTGTTTCAACTGTGACAATTAATGATGAAAATTCTGAATTTTATTTTCTAAATTTTATTTCATACCAAAGCTTTATCAGTAAGAAGTAGAGACAGTTATGTTAGTTTTATTGTCATAAGTATTTATACTAGAAATTAATCTCACTAAATATTTGTGCTATCAGCATTCGTTTTCATTGCAAATTCCCGCCCGTCCATATATATGCATACAAATGTTGCATAATACAATGTGTGGTATTATAACTAACTGAGAGATATACACGGTACTATGTTACCACACATAGCCATTCATGCTTAGTTGGACTCCATACAAAATATAAGTGCCTAAAACAGCATTATTAGCTAGTCACAAAAGCAAACGTTTCCTAAGGTTTTCAGCCCCTTTTGGTGGATTGTACTAACATTTCTCTTTTACAAAGTACAATCTTTTTTAACAAAAAATAGACCAAAAGATATTTTTATGAGGGCTCAAATTTTTGAGTTTGTAGTTAGGAAACTTGCCAATTATTTTGGTCAAGGATCGGAGTCAACATTACGTGTGTAGTGTGAGCATGGATAAATGTACAGTAGACTGCATTGCTGTTTTGTATAAGGGTCTGTTCCGAGTAAGTTTCTAGTCATCTTGGATGGCTGTACAAGTCGAGCCTGGGGTATTTTTGTTGAACCTCAACTTAAATGAAAATTTTTATTGCCATTTATTATATATGACAATTTCTATGGCTTTATGTTTTGAATAGAACACTTTTACACCAGAGAAGTAGGTATAATATAACTATTTTGTTGAGACACTGTTATGTTTTAAAACTTGCAGCATGTTTGAGAGGTTTGAAAAATAAATATTTTTTTTTTTATAGGCTTGGAAAGAATAGCTGAAGAGATTGTAGGCCATGAGAAGTGGAGGAAACTGATGACCCCCTTTAATGGTAATTTTTTATGACTGTCATATGGTTTTATAGCTAAATTTTACATCACTGTGTGTGTGTGTATATATATAGTAATAAAATACTGTAAAATAGACTAAAAATTGTTTGGTATCAAATTGTAGATTATATATCAAATTTTAGTATTATACATTATTTAATTTCTTAATTTAAAAGTAAATATTAAAAAAACACAGTTAAACATCAATTTTTGTGTGTCATGTGGTATGTTGAATGCAGTACTGGTTCAAATTAGATATTTGTGATGTCAAAACACTAAGTCTATAGTTTTGTATGAATTAGGAACTCAAATTACCGATATTGAGAAGCTAGAATATAAAATAAACACCTCGTATCTTTTCTATTTGCTGAGATATCACTCATGTACAGCATTAAACACATTGGCCCAGCTGACCTCTTTCCATTTTGGAAACAGTCTCTCATATACAGTTATTCAATATATGATGTAAATAACCAATCAAAATCTCAGAATGTCCCCCTAGTGACTTTCTAAGCCATTTTCATGTGTTAGGATGCCATCTCATTCTTTTGAACCAAGATTTCAAGGAGGTAAGTTGTGTTTTTAGTCTGCTCATATTTTTTTAGATTCAAATATAGCTTAGTTACTAAGCTTGATAAATTATAGTGGAATTCTGTGGTCTCGATATAGTAATTTATGATTTTTGATTATTCAACTGTTTATATAAAACCTAAAAAAAATTGTATTTCATATCCTTCATGTGTGAAATTTTAAAAGGCTTAGCAACCTATGTTAAGCAGCAACTGAGTACATAGGTCATAACTAGAAGAGATAATTATTTGCTTTACTGTTCTGTGTTTTAAAAAAAATAAGTTTAAGAACTTATTTGTAAATAGTAATAATGGAAATGTGACAGTATTTTACAAAATACCAGTCTACTAAAACACAACTGAAACAAGTCACTTTGTAAAGACTAAAGGTCAGTTTTACGTTATTGGAAACGGTAACATGAGAGCACATGTGCCACGTCATTGTAATTCCTGTATTGTTTGTCAGGCTGAAAGGTCAATATAATAGAAATATATATATAAACGTATAATATTATGAGATTTAAGCTATTTAGTCTAAACATTTATGTTTTCATGTTATAATTTGTTGTTATTCTAGAATGAAAAAGACATAATTTATATTCATTTCCTAATTTTTTATGGTGGTTACAAGATTGGTCAAATCTACCGAACCCTAGCAGAGTGAACCCGTGCAATTAGTGAAAATAAAATATAAAATATAAAGTTTTTTTTAATAAACCTTTGATAACTATCTGGACATTATAAAGATTTTGCATGTGAAATTTGAAAATTTTCTGATGCATAGAAGTATTTTCAATCTTAAAATGAAAATTATTTTGGATGTTGGATTGGCAAAATGCTAAAAGAAAAATAAAAGTATGATAAAAACATTGCTTAACAAACCTTAAGACTTAATAAAAAAATTTGATATTTTGCATATGAAACCATTGTAATGGCCCCTTAGTGGTACAGCGGCATGTCTGCGGACTTACAACGCTAGAAACCGGATTTCGATACCCGTGGTGTGCAGAGCACAAATAGCCCATTGTGTAGTTTTGTGCTTAACTTAAAAACAAACAAGCATTGTAATGTTTACTGATAATCTGCCAAATTTCATTAACATGTGCTTACTAATTTAAAAGTTGTAGCATGAAAACTATAACAAGCACAAAATTGTTACGAGGTCAGTCCCACGGACCTTGTTCGTGCTGAAAGAGTAAATGTCACAAAAATTGTTAAATAATCTAAATTAATGTTTCCAGTTATTAATTTTTTTACTATTCTACTAATTAATTAATTGAAGTTATGATTAAATTGATTGTTACAAAATTAATTAACTACCACTGTAACTAATTCTGAACTGCTGACTAGAGGGGAAGGCAACTGGTTGGTAACATCAGCCACCAACTATTGGATTATTTTCACTTTAAAGTAAGTGTAAATTAATGTTTTTTCATTGTATTATGTTTATAAATGCATAACTGTATCCTTGAATGTTGATAAGTAGTTGCAGTTGTAGGGGAGGGATCTAAGGAGTCAAGACACACTTTTGTTTTTGGAAATTAATAAAATACATAGCTAGTCATTTGTAACCTGTTCAAAATGGGCTCGTGTATTTTATACAACCTTGTTACCACCATGTAGCCATGATGGTATACATACTATTACTCTGAAATTACTTATTGTATATTCGTGAAATGTGGTAAGCTTTGAGTAAACATTACAAGTGTTTTGTAGACAAAAAAAATCAGTCTTTAAGGAAGTATTTTTGCTCAAACATTTCTTCATGAATACAGGAGCTAAAATGTTGACTGTTCCGAGTTCAAAATGATTGCATGTTAAGATTGAAAATACTATTTTTCATTTCAGAATTGTAAAATTTCATTTACCTAATCTTTAAAATCTTCTAAATGGACACATCACCCCTTTTTTCTCTATCTTAACTCTATATGGGGTTGGTTGATTTGACTGGCCTTGTAACAACCATGAAAAATTAGGAAATCTAAATTACCTTATTTTCTTTCTAGAATGACTGCAGATTGTAACATGAAACTAAAATTGTTTAAAGCTCACAATAGTATACATCTGCTTATATGTAATTTTATTGATTTATTGATCTTTGAACCATGTATAACTAAGAAACTCACCACACAAGTCGAGGTCATGTGGCAAACATGCAGCTCACATTACCATATCAAATTATGTAATGCAAGAGCTGCTCATAAGCATACTTCTGAAGAACTTTTGTTATTATTATTTGTTATCTTCCTTAATCTAACTTTTATCTAACTTGATCAGTTTCTAATTTTTACATTTTAGTAACTTTTATAATGATAAATAAGGAATACACATGAAAAACAAGAAATATAAAACTTACTTGGGTCCTCTTGTGTTTTTGCTGTCAACTGTTGAAATTTAAGTCTATATGATTGGGTAGAGTGATAATTAGAATCATGTTATAGTAGTGTAAATATAGTGGATTGAGCAGAGTGTTGGCTTAGAGGAAGGACTATGTTTTTCAATTAAGTCTTAAGATGACTTCTTTGATTTTAAATTTGTTGTTGTTTGGATCTTTTTTAAAAGTACAATGTAAATTGATGGTAAAATATTTTGATAACTCAAACACTCGTTTATTGAATATTACTTTTATGTGTATCCTATTCAAACAATGCACATAAATTGACTAACTGGCTACTTAATTATTTCTAATTGCAATCCTGATGTACTTTAAATAAAAACATTATTATTGTTGTTAGTAATAGTAAAATATGTTTTCATTAATATTCAATTCATTTGATTTACATAAGATCAATTGGGAATTACTGCATATTTCCGATACGCATGCCACAATCCTTGAGCTCCCATGTACCCCAAGATCAACGTGGTTCAACTGTGTCTCGTATGCAAATCATCATGCAACAACCCTCCACCAATAGGAGTGTGACACACCCTCCTGACGCATGTGACTCCCTCAATGTGACTCTACCGAACTACCACTTCTAATTTGGTAGTCCCTTTTTTTCTTTATGGACCCAGCTCTGTAGTGAGTGGTGCCTGTCTAGGTATACTTAAACTAGTCAAATCTGCACTGTAGAGCTATGATGACGTAGCAGTTATAATTTCCATGGTCACTAAATGCATACTGTTGAGATGAGGTGTTCCACAAGATCGCTCGTAGTTTTTCTAATGATATATTTGCTTCATGAATATGCCTGTTTCAAACCGTACTGACCCATGTACTTTATGGGTGAAGCAGAAGGGGATAGCTGCTCATTCCTGCCATGCCTTTGATCGAATAAATCACGTATGGCCTGCTCTTAAAAATAGGGTTTTCATGGTTTCTCTTTGCACTGTCTCTGGTGTTGATGTTCCTCTGGACTCTTCACTGGATTTTATCCCCCCTTTTTTTTCCAGTGGAGTATGGGAGTCCTTACCACATTCCAGTTCCAAGCCACTGGGGTGGTGTACCATGGAGGTATCCATCTGAATGTGATGATATACGATATAAATAATGATAAAACCATTCAGTTGAAGTAGGGCAGTGGTGTTCTGCTGGTGTTGATGACTAGATGTCCTCTCATCTGGTGCTCCATCTCTGTACAGGTTTATCTGAGGAGATGTTGTAGTTTTGGAGTGAGTAGTCAAAATTGCAGTTCACCCCTTCGATTGGGATCCCTCATCCTACTCTCACATGGATGTCAGTTCCCAGTGGCTGGATTTTGGATTCAGAGGTGAACCAATCAACAAAAGTCTTCACACATGTATTATGGGTGTCTGTTTCCTCACCCAATTATACACTTGTTTTCTCCACCCGTGTTGTGGGTCACAGTGGTGGAACTTACAGATTAAATAGATCTTCCTCTTACACTGTCTTTTGGTGATTTACTTGTACTGAGGATGTTATTGTGCTGGGGGCATTTCCTGTTGGATTGCTTTTGAATGAGATAGTTTACGTCATGGATACATCTTTACTGTACCAGTAGTTCGGATGTCAGGTTCTTGGATCGGTCAAACAATTTATCACATTGCTATCATGGGTCCCATTCATAGATTGGGGGGTACAAGATTCTTTCGGTCTGCTGAACTTGAGGTAATGATGGTATGATCTTCTTTCCTACCTCCACATGGATATTTGTTCCCGGTGGCTTGGTTTTGGATTGTAGTTGACTTACAAATGGTATGAACCTCATCCCACCCCTGATTGGATGTCCGTTTCCAGCAGCCTGGTTTTGGCTGTAGTTGATTTACTGACTGTATGATCTTCATTCTACCCCTGCATGGATGTCAGTTCCCATTAGCTGTGTTTTTAATGCAGTTTACTTGCTGTGTATGGTTCGTTGTGCCCCAGCCACTCTACGCCTAAAGGCAGGAACATCGAGAGCCAGCACAGGCCCCCTTTCTCTCTCTTTTTTAACATTTTCAATAATTTATTAAAAAGAATGTCCTAAATTACG